AGAATTAGTTAAGAAAAAATAACTTTTAACAAAATAGAACCTCGAGTAACTGGCAGAGAGATAGTTTTAGCTGAGAACGCTAAAATGCAAGTAAGAATTTACGAATTGCAACAAAGAATTATTGCTTTAAATGCTGATAGAAACGAATTGATTTGTGAAAACATGCTTTTAAGAAATAGAAATGAGGAACTTGAAACAGATAATATTCAGATTCATGCAGCAAATGAAAATTTGACGTGATTAAATAATGCGTTAAAAATTGTTTTGAGAGACGCTAAAGACGAGCGTGACCATTATAAAGCTGCAAATCTAAAAGAATTTGAAGAATTTATTTCAAATTATATTTTTAGTTTATTTAATAATATTGGAACCTTGTTTCAATTTGATAATTAATACATAACAAATATTGTTAATTTGTTGGAATTTTATAATTTCTTCCAGGTTCCTATAGTTTTTCACTATGTTAAAATAATTTATAGAAAGTTTTTGTTTCTGATTTTTGTAATTCCATATATTAATTTAACAGAAATGAAAAGAATTCGTGTTTTAGAAGTTTTATTTGTAAATATTATCATAGTTTATTTTGGTTTATAGTTAATTTTATTTGTATTTGCAAAATTTGACAGAGACTTTGTATTTTTATTATAAACAACAATTATAATTTATTGAAAATTTAAAGTATATAATCAAAAAACAATAAAATATAAATAAATTAAAAGTTTACAGAATACACATTTTTGTTGCTAGTTTTCTTATCGTGAACTAATTTAAAATTAATACATTGTTGTTTTGCCTTTTCGCTAGTCCTTTTTTTGTTAATATAAAAATGTTTAGCTTTTAGTTTATTATTTTCCCACCATTGAAAATGCTAAGCTTTAAGTGTTTTATGATAATAAATTCTATTATATCCAGATGAATTGGTGTTAAATAATTTACAATTTAATTGATTTTTTCATAAAGTTGTTTTATGTAAATTACATCTTCTGTTATCGCAACTATTATAATTTTTATAGTCAATTATCTTCCATTCAGAATGAATCAAATGATGAAGTTGTGAAATTTTTCCTTTAACAGATGTTCTAATATAATAAGTATTTCCATGTTTATAACAACACAGAGTATAATTCTGCAAAAGATTAAAATTCTCCTTATCGAGTAGAAAAGTGATATTGGGTTTTTGAGTGTTGACCTCTAAGTAAATTGTAAAATTGATTTTCACAAGGTGATATTTGTTCAATTTAAGTCTTGGTTTATCTGGATTCTTGTATTTTTCCCAATCTGTTAAGATTTCGAAATCTTTAAATTTTTCTTGCTAGTTCAACATTAGTTAATTATAAAATTAATTTTGAGTTTGTTTGTCGAATCCTGTAGTTTTCTCTTGGTGTTTTTGTATTCGACAGTATTTGTTATGTCTTTCATCTTGGCCTCGTATTGGTTTTTATACGCAATCGCATGGTTCAAAACAGATTTATCTTCACGATCTCCAGGAAATCGATATTTGTGAAGCTGTTTGTTTTTATATTTTTGATATACCCACGAGTCCCGAGATTTTTCATAATATATATTTTCGAAACCAGATGTGTTTGTATTTAACATTTTTCTAAACTAATTTTGGGAGCGAGTATTTATATAGTTTTTTGTTTTGATACGCAGATTATTGTTGCGACATGTGATGTTAAATAAATTAAAATTTCCTTTTTAAGAATAACATTTAATTTACTGCGGCTATTAAAAAAAAGTATATAAGGGTATAGTACAAAACAAATACATGAACAAAAATAGAAAATTCAAACAATGACGAATATTTCAAAAAAAACAAGATTAACTCATTTTATGTTTACAATTTACACGGATAATTTTCAAAAATATAAAGAATTAATAAACGAAAATGTTGACAGAAAAATTATTTGATATATTGTTTTTCAATATGAATATACTAAAACAAATAAAAAACATATTCAAGGATTTTGCATGCTATAGACACAATTGAGATTGGGAAATTATAAATACAATAAAAAAGCTTCGACAATTAAAAGTATTTTTCAAGATGAAGAAATGCATATTGATTATCATAATGGAACATTTGAAGACATGATCAGATATTGTAAGAAAGATCACAATCGGTGTTCGAAATATCATCCATATTGTAGATGTGATTTTTTTGATCTAACAAAAATATGCGACAAATGTAACGAAAGTTGCTTAGAATTTTGCACGTTCGCATGTGTCGATGATAATTCTGGACCATTTGAATACGGAAAATTAACAACAAATAATAATGCTGAAAGTTTTAATCAACATTTAAAAGAACAAAAAAAATACGTGTACAAACAATTGAAGATATCAAAGAACAAATCAAACCAATAAATGAAATTATTATAGACGCATTTGTTAATTCAGGAACTGCACCATATATAATCAAAGAACTTTACAATACTATTCGAGATAGTCAAAAAAAATTGTTTAAAAGATGTTTTACCCCTTGCAATATTTATATCTATGGTGACTCAAGAACAGAAAAAGATTATTTGACCAAATACTTTTCCAGATACATATCACAAATCGCACAATGATAAGCAGTGGTTAGAAGGTATGATATAGTTAAGAATATTTTTAAAAAAAAATAGACTAATATTTTATTTATTTTTATTAGGTTATGATGAAAACAAAGTTTTCATATACAATGATTTTTACAATTACAATATAGAGTACTCGACACTATTAACACTAATCAAAAAAAAGGTGGCTATCTAAATTTTTGTTCTTTCGTAAATGTATTTACTTTGAATACATCATTGTGAAATCAATATATCTATTTTGAAGATACACCGTATTTTGGTAGAGATAATTTTCAAATAGAAAACAAAAACAAATATTCTTCAATTTATAATCAGTTCGATTATATTATCGAATACAAAAAATTTAGAAATGATGATACACGTTCATGTATATTTGAATGTATCTGTTGTTCAGTAAAAAGAATTTTTCATAAGGGCTCATATGAAAATTTTATTAATCTTCGATTTGAAATAGAATTTAATTCAAATGTGACTTTCAAACAGATTGCTTATATAGTCAGAGAGGATAATTTAATTGAAGAATATAATAAAATCAAGTACTACAACCATGATTTTAAATCACAAGTTGACAAATTTGAATTAACAGACCATAGAATTGAAAACGATTTATATGTTGATATGATTGTATATCTGGAAGTAAAAAGAAAATTAGAAAATAGATTATGTGGAACTAAAAGAAAAAGAATTCGATTCAAAGGTTTTAAAGAAAACAAAATTGATTATGTAATTGAAAAATCAGATGAAAATTATGATTCAGATATATCAATGTCTTTATTATCTTCTAATGATAGTGAGACAACAAAATGTAGAAAAAAAGAAAAGGCTGTTTGTAAAGAACATTAAATTTATATTTTAATATTTCAAATAAAATTTATTTTAACAAAAAATTTAAAGCTTTATAAATTTTGGTTTATACAGAACTATTACATCATCAGTTGTTTTAAGAACTTCTAAAATAAAAATATATTTATGTTTACAATATTTAAATGCTGCTCTAGTGATTCCCACATTTCCTGCAATATATCTAATATCATTTTTTACTTGAACACCTTCTTCGAGATCATCTTCAACAACTTTTTTAACA